CTATGGAAATATGAACATATGCTTATTTTTAACTATTAAGAGAACACTATATACAGTTATCTATATTGAGAAAACATAATTTTAATAACCTTCTTTATCAGGTCCTTCATAATGTGTTGAAATTAACTATATCAATGGTATAATCAAAAAAAAAAAATTTTTTTTTTTTTGAGACAGAGTCTCACTCTATTGCCCAGGCTAGAGTGCAGTAGTGTGATTTCAGCTCACTGCAACCTCTACCTCCGGGGTTCAAGCGATTCTCCCGCTTCAGCCTCCGAGTAGCGGGAATTACAGGTACCCGCCAAAACACCCGGCTAATTTTTGTATTTTCAGTAGAGACAGGGTTTCACCATGTTGGCCAGGCTGGTCTCAAACTCCTGACCTCAGGTGATCCACCCGCCTCAGCCTCCCAAGGTACTGGGATTACAGGTGTGAGCCACAGGGCCCTGCCAATACAAGCAAATTTTTTAAGCGTTTAAAATATAAAGGACTGTACCTGTTGATATGATGTTGTGTAAACCATAACATTTTGTTGTTGACCGTCTGTGGTTATTAAGCCAGCTGGTAACTGGTTAGCTGAAAGAAAAAAAATTAGTTAAAGAGGGAAAAGAACTGTATCTACTTTCTTGGGCTGAATCTTAAGGTCGTACCATTAATGTCTCATTATAATTCTGCCCCATATCAATGATGTAGTCTTGGACAAAATAATAAATCCTCCAATTTTCCATTTTAAAAAATGTTCCCTAAAAACCACATTATTTTATATTGCATTTTTCAATTTTCCTATCTCTAACATGTACCTTAGCTAACTGCCCACGTGTACAAATCTGTAGACAGACTAGATGAAGTTTCTGATTCATGATTAAACTACACTACACCATGATGTTTGGCTGAGAGCAACATATAACTGAGCAGTATATAGTTTACATATGAGAAATATATATAATGAGAAATTGACTCACCATAGCCCTTTTATTTCACCAATATGAAAACATGATACTCAATTAAAAAAAAAAAAAAAACTGAGTTCAAATTTATTTAAATCATAAGATTTTATATTACAAACTACAATTCCTTAATATTCCTATCTCATATGAATCTTCAACAAAAACTAGGGGCTACGGAACTCAGTCAGAACTATGAATGAAAGGTTATAATGTCTACAGAATTAAACTTTTCTACACTTATCACTCACTGACTTCAAATAAAAGGGCATGAACTGATAAGAACTATTTAAAATAGTGCTTTGTCAAAATACTCAGTGCTGACATTCCAAAAATACCATTAGACACTTAGTATGAATCACTGCTAACAATCTACATGACTTGTATTATAAGAATGCTTACTAAATGCCTCCTCTGTAAGCTCTTCACTTAGTCCATCTGTAGCTGTGACTGCTCCACCAATTCCCTTTTCTCCTTTCATAGCCTGAGGAAGGAAAAAAAAGTCACTGATATTCAAATGAAATTGTCTTCCAAACACGAATGCTTACTTATGCCTAAAATTAGGAGCTTCTATTATTACAAACTCTAAGCAGAGTATTTATTAACACTTCTGGTTAATTACATATGAAGAATGCTTTCAAAAGGCTAACTTCTAATATAAGCTGTAATCATTAACAAGACAGAGTAATGACCTAGAAAACAAAGTACAGATAAAAATAAATTATTCTAATTCCACACCATATCAAAGGGGTAAGAGAACTCTACTTACAGATGAAGAAATCTGCAAAATACCACCAATATTGAGCCTATAAATCTACAAATGATCCAAGTGATCACTTAAGTATATATATGCCTCTCAGTCAACTGGGCAGTACTGCAGCAAGTTGAGAGTTAAAAATTCCTAAATTAGTTTGGCCAAATACCTCTAGGTTCCTATGATACTGAAGATTTGTAAAAATACTGTCAGGAATTTACACATTCTTTTCCTACTTCAATCATTCCATGCAAAATCACTAATTTAATGGGATTCAAACACTAAAGATATTAAGAATATATTTTGAAAGTAATGTGAATCTGACACCTAAGTTGGCATGTGGAAATAAATATGCTAAACTCAACTCCTTTTCACAAAATCCATTCCTACAAGCAAAGATAAACCTAAGAAGAATAGAAGAATTCAATCAATAATAAGAAAGACATGATTATACCTTCCTCTTTTTATTATCTATAAGACTCCAACCTTACTACTTTTAATGCTACTTCTTTTAAATTAACAATAGCAGCAAGAAGTAACATTAATGAGCACTGAACATTATTTATTTAGTCCCATAAATAATTCTATGATATAGGTACTCATTAGCCTCATTTTACAGAAGAGGAAACCAAGGCCTAAAGTAATTACATAATCTGTCCAAGGCCACAGAATTTGCATGTGGCAGAGCTGGGCTTCAGCCTCCTGGTAGTCTGAATCCAAAGTCTGTGCTTTAAATCATTATATAACTATGCTATAGTTAGTAATAAACAAAGGGAAAAAGAAAGGACTTACTATTTAAGTACTGTAATATAAGTCAGTGATCCCCAAACCCCAGGCTGCAGACTGATGAGGGTCCGTGGCCTGTTAAGAACCCGGCCACACAGCAGGAGGTGAGGGTCTGGTAATCCAGCATTACCATCCGAGCTCCGCCTCCGGTCAGATCAGTGGCCATGTTAGATTCTCATAGGTGCTCAAACCCTATTGTGAACTACGCATGCAAGGGATCTAGGCTCTGCATTCCTTATGAGAATCTAACTAATGCCTGATGATCTGAGGTGGAACAGTTTCATCCTGAAGCCATCTGCCCCTCGCACCCCTCCCCTGACCCCACTCCATGGAAAAATTGCTCTCCGCAAAACAGGTCCCTGGTGCCAAAAAGGTTAGGGACTGCTGATATAAGCAATTAAATAATTCTGAGAAATGTTACATAATTTACTACAAAATGAATTTTTTAAACAAATAATACATTTAAAAAGTTGAAGTAAATAACATCTCTTATTTTCTTAAAAGCACAAAGGGGGCCGGGAATGGTGGCTCACACCTGTAATCCCAGCACTTTGGGAGGCCTAGGCAGGTAGATTACCTGAGGTCAGGAGTTTGAGACCAGCCAGACCAACATGGTGAAACCCCGTCTCTACTAAAAATACAAAACTTAGCCGGGCATGGTGGCACATGCCTGTAGTCCCAGCTACTCGGAAGGCTGAGGCAGGAGAGTTGCTTGAACCCAGGAGGCAGAGGTTGCAGTGAGCCGAGATCTTGCCACTGCACTCCAGCCTGGGCAACAGAGCGATACTCCATCTCAAAAAAATAAAAAAAGAAGAAGGAAAAAAAAAAGCACAATGGGAGACATTTTATTTACCTCTCTGAATTTCTGAAGGTATAATTTCAGAGGTTCCACATAACTGTCAAAGCCTAAGGTAGACATAGCAAAGAGAATATCTTCTCCATTGATTGTTTTCCGTTTCTCTTGATGGCACCTTTCGCTTGCCTCAGATGTTATAAAGCTGATGAACTCACTCACACACTCTTGAACACATTCTTTGGCATCTTTTGCAATCTGAAGAGAAAATCATAGGTAAATTACAGAAACTATAACCATCACCTTCCTAACAACCTACAAAAATAAAAGCCTATTCAGAAGAACACATCTTCACCTGATGACTATTTAATCTCGTAAATATATGTTGTAACATTAACACAATGTGTGCTATCAAAAGTCCACACCTGAGTCACAATAAAAACTAAAATACAACTGAAAGAAGCCTTGACAACTATTTACAGAAAACAAGTCTAATTTAGATATAAAAGAGCACCAGGCACGGTGACTCATGCCTGTAATCCCAGCACTTTGGGAGGCTGAGGTGGGCGGATCACCTGAGGTCAGGAGTTCGAGATCAGCCTGGCCAACATGGCGAAACCCCATCTCTACTGAAAGTACAAAAAATTACCCGAGCATGGTGGCGGGTGCCTGTAATTGCTGTTACTCAGGAGGCTGAGGCAGGAGAATTGCTTGAACCCAGGAGGCAGAGGTTGCAGTGAGCTGAGATTGAGCCACTGCACTCCAGCCTAGGCAAAAAGAGTGAGACTCTGTCTCAAAAAAACATTTTTAAATATTTAAAAAGATATAAAACAGCAATCACTGGATGTTCCTACCACCCCACAGAGGATGAAAACTCTTACTAACCCAGTACCCCTGGAAAATCAATTCCACCATGCATATTTTGTGGGTGACTTAGGTACCACTTCTCTGCCCTAGCAGAGAAGTGAATTCACAAAAAGCTTGGAAAAGAGAGAAATAATAATACATGGTGACTGACTTTTTTATTATTTGGGATACACAGTGTCAGATACAGGTTTTGAGTTTACTAAAAAGCCTGCCTAAAGAAGCACACATCTGCCACTTCATTATAAAAACAATTTTTCCCTTAAGGGTCTGGGGGTCTAAAAATGAAACTCCAATGGATTAATCAAGCAACTGCAAAACCACCTGTAACAGCAATACCACTCAAAATCCCTGCTGAAACACACTGTCTTTCACTGCCATGCCTATTTTACATACTGGAGAAAGTAAGCAAGAACTGCACAAATGCAGTCAAGCAAGATAATATAATGTGAGCCACAAATGTAAGTTTAGATTCTCTAGTAGCCATATCAAAAAAAAGTAAAATTAATTTTAATATATTTAACCCAATATATCAAAATTATTACCATTTAAACATAGAATCCATTTTTTTTTTTTTTTTTTTTTGAGACGGAGTCTCGCTCTGTCACCCAGGCTGGAGTGCAGTGGCCGGATCTCAGCTCACTGCAAGCTCTGCCTCCCGGGTTCACGCCAGTCTCCTGCCTCAGCCTCCCAAGTAGCTGGGACTACAGGCGCCGCCACCACGCCTGGCTAGTTTTTTGTATTTTTTTAGTAGAGATGGGGTTTCACCGTGTTAGCCAGGATGGTCTCGATCTCCTGACCTCGTGATCCACCCGTCTCAGCCTCCCAAAGTGCTGGGATTACAGGCTTGAGCCACCGTGCCCAGCCGAATCAATTTTTAAATGAGAAATTTTAATTCTTTTCTTCACACTAAGTCTTCAAAATTTGGTGTTTCAAATTTGCAGCACATCTCCCTTCAGACCAGCCACATTTCAGGTAATTCTGAGCACATGGCTTGTGGCTACGGTACTGACCAGTGGCAGCCATAGCCTATGTAAGCAATAATCAGCATTTGTGCTTTTTTTCCCTTAAAACATAAGGACAAAATTCTCAAACTGAAAGTTCTAGGCTTAGTGATGTATTTTAATAGTATATTTATTTGCAAGCTTTATTACTTCCATAAGTCTTTTTAAACTATAAAATGACAGAAAAATTACCAATAGAAAATGATATAAAACATGTGAATTTTAATTCAGACCAAGTGATGAGCAGTGACAATGAGTTTTTAAAAGTTCTAAGAAGACAAAACTACTTGTCAAAAAAAAAAAAGTATCCAGTTTAAATGTATCTTGTATCTATAATTACGTAAAAATAGCTGTTTCCAAATACCAGAATTTTGGAAATTCTTTTTTTTTTTGAAAAACAAATCTTTATTGTCTAGAAATATATATATTAAAAAAAATCCCCAACAAAAGATGCTATTCTCTCATTTCCCCATCTTTCTCCTCTTCTTCCACACCTCTGATATAAAGGACATTATTTACACTTATTAAAACTTCACCCAGATGTCCAGGACAAAGCTCCCATCTATGTATTCTTCCTGTATTTGCAAGCTGCATGTTCATGTAGCCATCTACAGATACCAGAAGCCCTTGTACTCCATTCCCCACTTAATTTCACCATCACTGGCTTTCCTGTTAGTCCACTGAGGAAAGGTTTGGGATTGAGGGGTAAAGCACGTAACCACAGCCGAATATTGCAGGCTACTCACTGCCGACCAGGCTGCCGCTTGTCTCTCGTGACTACAGCAGGTACCCCAGGTCCCGAGCCGCTGAGTTTTGTTTTGGAAAATTCTTATTACATCTATATCAGACCAATACGACCTAAATTTGCTGCAACATTATGCAAGTTACAGCTTCAGGCTGGTACAGCGGTTCACGCCTGTAATCCCAGCACTTTGGGGAGGCTGAGGTGTGTGGATCCACGAGGTCAGGAGTTCGAGACCAGCCTGACCAACATGGAGAAACCCCGTCTCTTACCAAAAATACAAAATTAGCCAAGCATGGTGCACATGCCTGTAATCCAGCTACTAGGGAGGGTGAGGCGCAGAATCGCTTGACCTGGGAGGCAGAGGTTGCGATGAGGCCGAGATTGCGCCAATGCACTCCAGCCTGGGCAACAAGAGTGGAAACTCCGTCTCAAAAAAAAAAAAGTACAGCTTTATACACCCAAACCTGATATGTCTGACAACGTACCTATTTTTTAAGACAGTCGGGCCAGGCACGGTGGCTCGGTGGTCTATAATCCCAGCACTTTGGAAGGCCGAGGCAGGGCGGATCACCTGAGGGTCAAGAGTTCAAGACAGCCTGACCAACATGGAAAACCCCATTTCTTAGTAAAATACAAAATTAGCGGGCATGGTGGGGCATGCCTGTATCCCAGTACTCGGGAGGCTGGGGCAAGGAATTGCTTGAACCTGGGAGGCAAAGTTGCAGTGAGCCGAGGATTGTACCATTGCACTTCAGCCTGAGCAACAAGAGGTGAAACTCTGTCTTAAAAAAAAAAAAAAAAAAACAGTCTAAATTCTATTTTATCTGCCTCCAATAAGTGGGAGAGGGGAGAACATTTAGGGACATGACAGAATTGAAAATGGGACACCGTTCAGTAACTATGTAGACATGAAAGAAATATTTGATTTGCCGAAAGCCTGAATGATTGAAATCAACAGCTAACTGTACCCATGACCTATGAATTTATGTAGTTTCGTGTTTCCCTTGTAAAAACCTAGTTAAATTTCTCCTTTACGTTACCTTTCCCGTTTGAGGTATGGCATTTTTCATTATCCTAGCCACATTTGCTATTGGAAGATATATATCTTGTTCTCTGAAACTTTCTTTTGAACCATTTGTGTCCTCATGATCATTCATGCTGTCCTCAGTATCTAAAGAAATAAAAATATTTAGGTTTAAAGCTTCTTATTATTTCTATTTCAAGATAGAAAAAACTACCAAAAAGATCCACAGAATAAAATCATTCTGGTTCATCTCTTAACCCTTATTTAGGGATTAGGATAGCAAGTCTCTTCATAATTTCTACAGAGCCAGAACTGAACTTTTTTTATTAATTTCAGATTCACTGCCTAGAATGCTTTTTATCCTCTAATATATCCGCTAAAATCCTACTTGCCCATTCTCCAAAAATCTCAAATAACATCTCCATAGCACCTTCAAAAATGATCTTTTCATAAAATATAAGTGTTTCTCTATGCCTTTTCTCTTACAGTTTTAGAATTTTTATTATTCCTCATTTCTCCTATTAGATTTTTGCTACTTGATGTCATGAATCAGCTTTGTGTTTCCCACAGCTTGGTATAGCACCTTCCACAGAGTGGGTACTCATAAGTATTTATTGCATGACTTACCTATAAAACTTACAGACTGTAACCTATGGCTATTTCAATATTACTAGATTAAGAGGTTGTATGTTTCTCCAAACCCAAGTTTATATAAACTCATTTATGTAAAAGTCTATATAAAACTTTTTTAAAGTTGATATAAAGTTGTCTTGTCTATATAAAGTTTATATAAAATTCTATAAAGAATAGAAAAATTGGACTTGAATATTACTGATCCAGTTGGATTACTAATGTAACTAGTTTTTGAACAAAGCTATAGCAGTGATCCAACTGTTCATACAAGTGACTTTGTGAATTATATAAATTTAGCTATAACTGAAGCTTGCGCAGTACCAATAACATCCTTTTATGACTAAATGCAGTATCCTGTAAGTAAACTGCCCACTCTTCATATGTACTAAGTAAGTAGGCAAGGCACCTAAGTTGATTCAATTTACGTTTTTGTGTGTTTAAAATGATGTTATCAGAATTAATTTATTTGAATATCTGTTTCAGGATGAAATTAATCCCTCTGGCAAGTTTCTTCTAAAAATATATCTCAATTTTTAAAAATTTTACAAATCAGGTCAGGCATGGTGGCTCATGACTATAATTCCAGCACTTTGGGAGACTGAAGCAGGTGGATCACCTGAGGTCATGAGTTCGAGACCAGCCTGACCAAGATAGCAAAACCCTGTCTCTACTAAAAATAAAAAAAATTAGCTGGGCATAGTGGTGGGCGCCTGTAATCTCAGCTAATGGGCAGGCTGAGGCAGGAGAATCGCTTGAACCCAGGAGGTGGAGGCTGCAGTGAGCCAAGACTGTACCACTGCACTCTAGCCTGGGCGACAGAGCAAGACTCCATCTCAAAAAAAATTTTCTTCTTACAAATCAAAATGCCACAAAAGTAAATTATTTCTGATAGGCCAACATAACATTGTCGTTTTGGTTTTTTTTTTGGTTTTGTTTTTTTGAGACAGAGTCTCACTTTGTCACCCAGGCTGGAGTGTGCAGTGGTGCAAACACGGCTCACTGAAGCTTCTACCTCCCAAGTTCAAGTGATTCTCCCACTTCAGCCCCCAGCCCCCTAAGTAGCTGGGACCACAGGTACATGCCACCAAGCCCAGCTAATTTTTTAATTTTTTTGTAGAGGTGGGGTTTCACCATGTTGCCCAGGCTGGTCTCGAACTCCTGAGCTCAAGTGATCTGCCCACCTTGCTGTCCCAAACTGCTGGGATTATAGGCATGAGCACCACACCGAGCCAACACTACCATTCCAATACCTGACATAGTTCAAAGTTAATACTGAATGAAAACCAAAAATAAAAGTGCAAGAAATACAATAGCTAGAAATTTTTTTTGAGACAGAGTCTCGCTTTGTCGCCCAGGCTGGAGTGCTGTGGCCGGATCTCAGCTCACTGCAAGCTCCGCCTCCCGGGTTCCGGCCATTCTCCTGCCTCAGCCTCCCGAGTAGCTGGGACTACAGGCGCCTGCCACCTCGCCCGGCTAGTTTTTTGTATTTTTTAGTAGAGACGGGGTTTCACCGTGTTAGCCAGGATGGTCTCGATCTCCTGACCTTGTGATCCGCCCGTCTCGGCCTCCCAAAGTGCTAGGATTACAGGCTTGAGCCACCGCGCCCGGCCAATAGCTAGAAATTTAACTCACCCTCTAAATAATTATTTTAGTTACCCTATCAATTGATTATAGATTTCTCATATTTAACATTTAAACAGGAAGTCGGTAACAAATTTCAAAAGAAACTGTACAGGTTTTAGACAAGGTGTATTTTTATAGTAAAAATCTTTTCAAGGACTCATTCTTTTGAAGACTATTTCTAATAGAAATAGCATGGTACGCCTTTTTAGACTTTCTCATTGAACTGTAACACAAGACTGTAAATTTTCCTATAAAGACAAAAGTAACCTAGAACACCGTATTAATTAAATGTCCACTTTCTAACTTGCTTCATCTTGTGAATTTGGTTCTAACTGTGGCTTGCTTACCATCATGAGGCTGTATAACATAATGACTTCCTCCAATATAGTCTGCAGAGATTCCTAGTTGAGAAGCATCTGTTGTAGAACTGTCACCATCCATCTATGAGGAGAAAAACAGGTTTTCAATACTTTTCAAAGTACTAACAAACGTAACAGATTCAACACTTATAAACTGTCACAGGATGATGGGTCAATTATACTTTTCATAGCCTTAAGCTTACTAAAAGAGAATTTGTATTTCTTTTTTAAAAAATTAATTATTTTTTTGAGACGGGGTCTTACTCTGTCGCCCAGGCTGGAGTGCAGTGGCATGATCACAGCTCACTGCAGCCTCAACCTCCCAGGCTGAAGCAATCCTCCCACCTCAGCCTCCAGAGTAGTTGTACTACAGGCATGCACCACCACGCCTAGCTAATTTTTTTGTATTTTTAGTAGAGATGGGGTTTTGCTATGTTGCCCAGGCTGGTTGGGAACTCCTGGGTTCAAGCAATTCGCCTACCTCAGCCTCCCAAAATGCTGAGATTACAGGCATCAGTCACCACAAACAGCCTATATTTCTTGATTTGGAAACCTTCCCACAATTTGTCCAGGATTCAAGATTTTCCTATCCATCTTCCCTAAGTGATAAGCAGAAGGCCAATAACGACAAGGAAATGAACCTAAACCATATGCCTCTTTCTTTTCAAGTGCATAATCTTCAAATATAGTACCACAGGCAACCCTGACTTACAACCTAATTTATCCCTGGAATGATGATCAGCTTAATAAAGCTGGACACAGTGTCACGCGCCTGTAGCCCCAGCTAGTCAGGAGCTGAGGCAGGAGGACTGCTTCAGCTCAAGAGTTCCAGACCAGCCTGGTCAATGTAGTGAGAACCTGTCTCTTAAAAAAAAAAAAATCAGCTTAAGTCATCAACTGGAATCTACCTGTATCCATCACTTCCAGCTTTCCAGCTAAACCCTGATTTTCCTTTTGCTCCTGCTGCAAACTTTCTTTGCTTTCTCATAGAAGTTCCAAAATAGACAATATCTCCGTTCAAACTGTTACTTGGTATAAGAAGCATGTGGATTCCCTGCACAATTCTGTACCTAGGCAAGCCAAAAGTACACCCATGTTTTGAATGAGCCCATAAACTCTTGATTCTAGTCAAAGGTTAATTTTCTCTCCCCATGCCAAGTCATGGTCAGGTGTGGCTCATGCCTGTAATCCCAGCACTTTGGGAAGCTGAGGTGGGAGGATCACTGGGGCCCACAAGTTCAAGATTAGCCTGGGCAACACAGTGAGACCCTGTCTCTAAAAAAATAAAAATTAAAAAATTAGCCAGGTGTTGTGGCATGTGCTTGTAGTCCTAGCTACTTGAGAGGTTGAGGTGAGAAGATCACTTGAGCCTAGGAGGTTGAGGCTGCAGTGAGCCGTGATCACGCCACTGCACTCCAGCCTCAGTGGCAGAGTGAGACCCTGTCTCAAAAAAAAGGAGGGGTCAGGAAGATCTGTGTATAAAGATAGGAAAATTACCTGCACAGACAAGAATAAGAGTTTAAATTCCTATTTTTAAAAAAGAAAGCCTGCTTAATTAATTTTGCTGAGAGCTAAAAGAATGCCAAGAGGGAAAGTCTGGAAAAAAGTAAATCATAAGCCCTGAACTGGCTCCATTCAATTTCACCAACATGGCAGATTCTAGAAGGCTTTCTATTTTGCAAATGCTACTACTCAAAATAAGATATCCGTGAAAGAAAAAAATTTAAATGCATTATCTGAATAAAAAGTATAGCAAAAATCAAGTGTAATTCATATACACTTTCAGGCTGAACAAAAAAGAGAAATTTGACCGTTCATTAAGGCCCAGGACCCAGTATAAACTTGATGTTATTAACTGTAAAATTTCAGTACTTGTATAACACATGTCTTCTCCATCTCTGTTGGATTTTTATTTAATATTAAAATACTGGGCTAGTTTTCAGGTCTTCAATAACATGGCATTTCTTTCATACATCTGTTGACTGTGATGCCTAATATAACTGTAGATAGAGACACATTTCTGTAATTTATATAGTTGTTTTAAGGGGGTAGAAAATGGAATTCACAGACCTTTAATAATCTGTGAACACAGGGTACCTATTTGATACTTTTTAGTAGCCTCTAAGAAGTAAAAAACAAAGTCAGTGACCTGATTCTGACTCTCCTACCGATCCCCTGAAAATAAACATCCCTGCCAATTAAATGTATTTCCATATAAAATGTAAATAACAATACCACCCTCCCCATCTTAAACTAACACAAATGAATGTGAAACATTGCCCGAAAATCAAATGCTATTTTGATTCTAAAATGCTAACATACTAGGAGAGTAT